CATCAAGATTCTGATTGGGGTGCCGGCTGTGCACAATAAAGCAAAGCACGATCCAAGATTTCAAGGGCTCAATTGATAAGCATGTCAGGCTCACGCTTGTTCTTCGCCACGCCGAGGCGGACTTGCCAAAGATTTCCTCGGCGTGAAGGCATGCAGACCTCGGGCCGCAGGCGGGGTGGCGACAGTGACGCTTGATCAGGGTTGACTAGATTCTGCTGATATGATTGCCAATCACAACTTACGTTCTTTTTCGGCGCCAGCATGTTTGTGTCACGGACGCATGCCTTCCCAGGCAGACATGTTTCAATGTACTGAACGTCAGAAAGATCACTTAATTCAAACCGTGTTGCAGCTTCTAAGCCTCACAGTTTGATCACCATTCAGCGAATCAAGCGTCTCACGGGGCTGGGACAAAGCCATCAAGAAACGGGGGAAATGGGAGACGTTCATGCTAAAACCATTGGTTGAGGTTCCCCGCAAAACGCCATGATTCAAAAACCCCATGTAGGCCGACGATGGAATTTCTAATCCACGTCAGGCACGGTCTCCGGCAAGCACTTGGCTGTCAAGCTCCCACACTTTTTCAGAAACTGGACGTAGCCCTTGGGCGGCTTCTGCTTTGTCATCTTCTCCTCCATCATGATGTGGGACTGGGCAGGAGGCGAGAAACCCCTTTTGATTTGGAAACCAAAATGTGGAAAAGGGAACAAATAAAATGAAACCGTTGGTTCTTTTATAAGAGTGCCATAGCGCTTGCCGCGGCACAAGTGTACACGCGCACTTGACGGCCAAAGCCAGCGCGTGGTACTTGTGAAGGCCGACCGACTGGAAGGAAAAGTGCGCAATGTCCTTTTGCAAGGCCCTCGACTTCAGCCCACAGCCCCGACGGGTCCAGTAGATGTTGCACGCGAACGGCACAGCGACAGAGCAGGTCTTCTTGATGTGCAGCTTGAACTTCTTCATTTTGAGCTTCAGGTTGATGTCCTGGGCGTAGGCCAGCAGCTCAGACTTCACGTACTCCTCGTCCGCGTTCGTCCACGAAGCCGCCGCCTCAACGGTCTCCACCTTGCGCTTGGGCGCTGCACGCCGCTTCACGGACTTAGGCTCCGCAGCGCTCTCCTTAAGCTGGCCACGCCTCACGCCCTTGTTGTCGCCAGGGCCGGACGCTGCCTTCAGAAGCTTGCGCCCCTTCCTGCGCTTGAGGCCAACGCCATCCGCACTCGCGACCTTGCCCTTCTTCGCGTCTTTGCTGGTCTTGCCCTTTGCGCCCTTGCCCTTCGCTCGCTTGTCCCGCGCTCGCTTGCCCGTCGCCTCCAAGCCCGTCGCCTCCAAGCCCGTGCCATAGTCCACGTTCTCGTCGTAGTTGTTCTCGCCCTCGTCAAGTTCATCGACCAAACTCTTCTTGTTCTTTACCCGCTTGTTGTTCAGCTTTTTGCCGTTGGCCTTGTTCTTCTGAGCGCTCGCTGAACGGGTTCTCTTGCCAGAGCGCTTGCCCGACGCTCGCATTTGCAGCTGGTCAGTCTTCAGGAGCACCTGTTCGGGTAAGCGGTGCAGGTGTGGTAGGGAGTAGAATGCAAAATAGGCAAACTGAAACGGTTTAACTTGCAAGGAGGGTTGGGTTCATTTCACGGGGGCTGCCTTGTCTGCAACCGCTTGGTTGTTCTCAGCAGCCGCGTTTTCGTGGCCAGGCTCAGTGCCCACAGCTGCAACAGCCGGTGGCGGGGAGGCTTGGTCAGCTCGGTCGCAAGGCTCAGTTTTCTTGACACTTTCCAACGGCACCCCTTTGAATCGGGAACCTTGGTAGACTTCCCTCTTCTCACTTGCGGTTGGGGAAGCATTGCAGGAAACAATGACCTTCGGCGTTGGAGAAGGGGCCTGTGCCTGCATGATGTTCACGCACTGCGGTTCCATCGTGTCCATACTCGTGGAAGACCCCGCTCCTATAAAGCAATTTCATTCATGATTGAGCACGTCCAATCAGAACATAGTTAATTAAGGGGCAAAATCTGCTGTTGCAAGACCGTTGGTCATGCAGGGGGTTGGTCTGCACTCTGTGCAGCAGCTTTCTTCTCACGAAGCCTGGGTTGGCCAAAGTTTGTGGAAACCCATCAGCCTAACGTTGACACAATAATGAATCATGAACATCATGACCCCTGAGGATCTCGCTGTTTCAACTTGTGACGGGCAAGGTCCAGCTCCGATTGCAATTTGGCCGCTTCAGGGGAAGCTGAAGTGCCTAGGGTCGATCTGAAGTCTGAAATGCAAAAGCGGGTGACGAAGAAAAAAACATAGCTCTCAATTGGCTATCATGTCTTGCCACCAAAGTTGCAAGGGGAAACAGGCGAAGGGCCAGGGGCTTCTGTTGTAGGAGAAGGAGAACAAGAAGTTGCTACCAAAGGCAACCGTTGGGAGTTCTGAGGGGTGGCCACAGCCAGGTGCAAAGCAGGCTTCTCTTCAAGCTCTTCTTTGTTTGCCAGGACTGCGGGGGGTGTGATGGCCTTCTGAGCCTCGGTGGGCACGGCCTCCTCATCAGTCTCTTCGTAAGCATCCTCATCCGCTGCCTGCACAGACAGCCACTACATAGCAAGTCTGGTTCTGCCCATCGAAGCTTCCCGGTGTAAATTCAACGCTGCAAATATGATCTTAGCATACGCCGTACGCTTTATTTTATTCCAATTTTGTCATGCTGCGAACGCGCCGCGCCTCCACCTCAGCACCGCTTTCTTCATCATTCAGTTGGTCAGCAATCTCCTGCGTGAAGCAATTGCCACTTAATTGCAAACACTTTTGGAACATGCTGTCAGTTTCATCCAGTTGGTCAGCAATCTCCTGCGTGAAGCAATTGCCACTTAATTGCAAACACTTTTGGAACATGCTGTCAGTTTCATCTTTGCTGCGTGCTGCTACTCAGGTCAGCCTCACAAACAAGGCATGAGCAAAACACATGAGCCCAGTCCGTGAGAGACAAGTCCAGGATGATGCAAAGGTTCTGAAACTTCTTGTCCTGGCGCAGTGCATGCGTTGGGCTGGCAGGGCAGCTTTCTATAACTGGCCCCTTTTTATGGGTAAACATAACCCCTCACTCCTTCGAAATCTCTTTGCGGTGGGCTTTGCGCTTGATGAAGCCCAAGTGCTTACGAATTTGCCAGCTCATGGTGCAGGTGTCAATGTCGGTGAGGCTGCTAGTCTTACAATTCTTCTCGTACAACTCCTTGATTGCATCCCGTAAGCCCTCAACTTCTGGAAGTTTGTGGCAACGATCGGCCATCTTTTCCAAAAGCGGAGTGAGCACCCCTCGGTTCAACACAGCTGTGCGGATGTTGCACTGCGAAGCCGTGAGCTCATGAACCAGGAACTTGCCGTCGCGAAGCCGTCCCCGGACCCATTCATTTTCATCCCAAGTGTTCGACAGGTCGCTACGGTCAAGAGGTGGTTGCCGTTCTTCTTTTGGGCGAACCATCTTAGCCAAAACTTGCCAAATGGAGCCAAAAACAGCTGCGCTGAATAGCCAAGCTCCACCAAGATCCAATGCAGTTCAAAGCTGTCGCGCGAGCAGGACTGGGCTGCCACGCAGATCATTGCCATGGAGCAAAAAGAGCGCACGGCTGACTGTCCATGGTCGTTGAGACATGTGCCTATATGAGGGTTTTCTGGTTCTATCTACCTTTTGTGGCTTTTGTTTTACCATGCTGCTCCGGTCGTCATCCTATCAGGTCCTCTGAGCAAGTAGGCCTTTGCAGCAGCAAAATAAGGGGTTTGACAGGAAAACCCAGGTTTTGCAGATAAAAGGCAGGTTCTTCCTGGCATCTTGTGAAGAACCCGGTAATCATTTGGAAACCTTTAAAAATGTGGGTTCTTCGAGCATAGGGATGTGTGAGTTATCTAACGCTGGGCAGATTCGCAGTTTGCAACTACGTGTGCCATGTTTCTTCTTTTGGGTTTGATTTGGTTTGACAACAGGTGTCCTTTGTTTCCCTGGAAGTCAACCGGAGCTCCGCAATCGTGGCTGAACTATTGGAGGCCCTTTGGCCCCGAGCGCATCATTTTCCAATGGTCGATGGGTTCATTTTTCTGTCGAATCGAAGCTCAGTTTCGATGTGGACCTCATAATATCATTCACCTAACCTGCTCTCGGCGCTCTTGGCGTTTGTTTTAGTTGGTCCCTTCCAGTGACTAGGGCGGCTCCAAAAGGTCTGGTGTCCTGCTACCAAAGAGGGTCAGCCAGCAAAGAAAATCACAACACCAGGCTCTGAGGTTGCCAAACACAGCGGGGGCTTCGAGAATCGCTTTTGCATTATTTTGTCCCGGACAACAAGCTTCCAAAGAGGCAGCCTCTACCTAGATCGCCAAGTTGCTGCTTTCTTTCCATACGCTTTCGACGCTTTACCCTCAGTACAGATTCTGGGAAAAGCACCATCAACAAGAGCACGTCTTGACGATCTATCTCTTCTCCGCAGTTTTGTCAGCTGTTGTTGTTCTGCACGCATTAGGCATTGTCCTTTGATACTTTAAGGGGTCAGCGAGCTTGGGCCCAATTTTGAAGCTCCGCAATTCGACTTGATGCTTTGTTTTACGTTTGTGAATTGTAGTCGCTTGAGCAGACAGCCCGGCCAAGTTTGCAGCAAATGACCAGCGGTGTGTTTGGAACCAAAAGGAAGCTGCCACGTTGGGGGTCCAAATCCCTCTGGAGGGTACCTGGCTTCACCTCAATCGAACCCATTTTTGGGGTCCCCTATTGTGAAATCCATTTCGCACCAATTTGAAACCATGGTTGAACCATAGTGTTGGTATACCATCCACAGCATTAGTGTTTGGAGGGTACCCTTGAAAATCCGGTGAAAACTAGTCGACCACGTTTCTTCTTTCCTTTTTGGGGGGGGGGCGGGTTTTCTGGGTGCCCTTGTTCACCGGAGAAAGAACAAGTCGGACGCCAAATTTGTGGGGTTTTCTGTGGGTCCCACTGGGCCATTGCCTGCCCCATCCGCATCCGTTGGCCCAAGGCGACGAGTACACCTCACCGCTGGCGGACGGGGTGCGGCATCTGCTGGTCTGCCGGGTGGCCCTGGGCCGAGTCCACTACACTGACGCCAAGGAAGCCGCCGGAGGTCGCGCGCGGAGGTGTTCGTGTTTGCTGTTTTTGCTTTAAGAGCATGCAGATTTGCAAGGTAATTGTTTTGTCTGTTTGAAATGAGCATGCAGGTATTCAAGGTATTTGTTTAAAGAGCATGCAGATATTCAAGGTGTTTTCTTTTTTGAACAGAAAAAACACATGCAGGTATTCAAGGAAGTTGTGTTTACCTTTTGTTTTTAAACAAAAAGGCATGCAGGTATTCAAGGTAATTGTTGTTGTTTTTAGAGCATGCAGATATTGAAAGTACTTATGGAGAATATCGCATCGATGTCGCATCGATTTCGCATCGGTTTCTCCGGATATTGAAGGTATTGGCAGCTTTGATCTTGACTTGCTGGTGCGAGAGATGCAGGGAATGTGGGAATGAGCCTTAACCATCCGACTGGTGGCTTCCTTTAAGGGAATCCCTGGGTTCATTCCCTCACTTCGTACTGAGCACCAGCAAGTCAAAGACCGTTTCTTTGGATATTCAAGGTATTGACATTTGGTATCGTCGGGCGGTGTATTTTTCGTAGGTCACTGATCACTGACAAAGCTTTTCGGACAAATTGTAACTTCGGGCAATAAACCTTCATGTGGGGTGACCGGCTGACTGCTTATGCATGCATGCTTTGTTGGGGGAACGCTTGCCAAGCATGAACAAGCACACATGGCCAGCACGTAAAAAACAACCAAGTTGCACGTTCATGTTGTTCCCATGTCAAGCTTAAAAAAAAGGAACTCACCCAATAATTTGGGCTAAAACCCATTTGTAAGTTGGTATTTTGAGGGTCCAACTCGTCCAATCTTGAACGAAGCCCACCACAAAAGGCGAAGCTCGAAGCCGGATGTTCTCCTCAGGACGCCGATCCGCGAGGCTGCGAAGACGCGTGTCTGAAGGGCGCCTGGCTCAGACACCGGAAAAATACCGCGGGTTTGGGTCGTCTCGGAATGGATTTGGGCCGGGCCCTAAAATGGCGCACAGGTTTTCGGTTTTCCTTCAGGTGTCCCTTCACCCCCCCCCCAAGAAAAAAAGAAGTCGAGGTTCTCCCTGCAAGGAGGACAGTCGAGCCAATTTCTTGCGCAAGCACTAGGTCAAGATTGGGGACGAGAGACACCTTGGCCCTTGACTAGAATGATAACTAAAGAACATATTCAGATCCTGAGCTGACCAAGAAGTTGCCTGGATGAATGGTGCTAGGTAATTAATCACTGTGGTCACCTAAAACTCAAAACCGCCCCCTCCCGGGGAAAATAACAACGACTCCTCACTTCTCAAAAGCGGAGACTCGGCTGAGGCAAGTACCACTCCATCCTCGGAGACCGGAAGAAGTGCAGAGGCCTGCCGTTTCCAGATGGACCTCTTCGAGCCTTTTTGAAGGGGTTACTAACAGCTAGGAAGGTAGCCGATACGGAGCTGAGGGAGCTACCATGAGTTCTGTTTCAAAACATGGTATTTCCCCTCTCAAATGCAGAGGTATTGTCTCAAGATAGGAATTGGAACCCTCGAAACAGGTGTCCTGTTCGAGTCCCCCACCTCAAAAAGGGTACAGCCTCAACAAAAAGTCACACCCTACCCAACACAAGGGAAACTGTTGCCAACTGCACCGCGAGCCGCAAGCGGCGAGCGGAGGCACCTTCCGGGAGTTTGTGGTCTTCGACGAGGAGCAAACCTACGTGAACTACATCTTGTGGCTCGTCTGCTGGAGGTTTCGGAGGGTCCGAGTCATCCAACCCTGTCACCTTTTGGAAATGCCACTTATAGTGGGTGCATCTTTAGGAGGGCCTTAACACATCACCTTTTGGAAATGCCGCTTAGTGGATGTGTCTTTTAGGGGACACCTCCAAAATGGATTCACCTGTATCTTCCAACGCGCGTTATTTTCTGCTCAAGCTGCTATTTGATACGCTTTTTGTGCTTGCGTTTTTTGGGCAAACGAGCGCTATTTAGTCTTCGAGCGTTAACTCAGCCATCTGGAAGGCTGCTTCGCAAAGGAATTGAGGCTCCGTTGGAGAACAGGTTGCGCAATGCGGTCAATGTTTTGAACCGAGCAGCAGCTTTCCTTGATGAAACGGGCCCGCACAACGAGCGCAAATTCCCGCTACAAAAGCGCAATTTCCCGCCACACGAGCGCACTTCAAAAAGTGCTAGTTTTGCCACGTTCGGCGCCCGCTGCAAATCTTGCACATGAGTAGCAGAAAGACTGAGCCCACACGCTGAACAGTTTCTTCTTTTCCGATATCAGATCCGAGCGCTTTTTCTTGAACCATCTTGAACCGAGCGCTTTTCAGACAAACGCGCGGTAATTAATCTGTTTTGCAGAAAATAACGCTCATCGGAAGATTGAGGCAGTTGTTTTCTTTTGGTTTCCGTTTAAACAATAAAAAAAGGTACCCTCAAAAAAGAGACCCAAGTGAGTTTCCTTGAGGGGTGTCAACGGGAGAAAGACCTCGGAGATCCTGAGAGTTGAGGAGGGTGCGTGGAGGTGCATGGACAAGAAGCCAAGGTCTTTGGAGAGGGGACAAAAAGGAGAACATGGAATCAACAAGGTCTCCCAGAGCGAGATTCCTCTAAACATGCGTTGTTGCCTCTCTTTTCTTTCTTTTTTTTGGGGGGGGGATATGGTACTTTGTAGGAGCGTAAGTCTCCTTCTAGCCCTTTGAAAATGGGCTTAGCTGACCCCGTTTGGGTAGATGACCCATAGGGTCAGAAGAGGCGTGACTGCATCTGGTTGGAATGGCCATGTTCCCTCCAGGTTTCTACCAGCCCCTGGAAAAAGCCAGCTTCTCTTTTCTTTCCCATTTAAACCACCCAGAGGCTCCGGATTCATTTAGGGCCCTCAAACAGCCAGGTTTTGAGACCGGGTCCCAAACACCTCTGGGGTGCCCATTTAGGGGGTCGGGGCTTCCATTGAAAGCCGAAGCCAGGAGCCTCTTGGCTTCAACCTGGAAAGGGTCTCAACGAACAAAAATACAAACACACCTCGTACTGTTTGCACCACCTTCCTCTTGGCTTCCCTCTTCAAGTTGCAAGGGCACTTAGCGGCGCAACAAAAAGGCCCAGTAGCAGGAACCGTAGGATCTAAATCTTGACCCCGCAAGAATAAACCTATAATTATATATATATATATATAACAGGGGGTGGTCCCCTCCAAAAGTGCTGAATCAACAGAAGCGTCACACCCCCCTATTCGTCCACCAAAATTTCTCCATCCGGGGTTGTCGAAACAAAGCCGTCAGAGCCCAGAGCTTCGAGCCGAGAAGGTTCTATGAAGCTGGGAGCCCAACACCTCCAAACCACCAAGAAGGAAGCTGACTTTGGCTTCCCCAAGACGTTGTACCTGAGGTTAGGGAAACCACCCCCATTAATTATGTTTCTTAGATGGGTTTCAAGGGAAAAGCCATGCAGAACACCCCATCCAAGCCACTGTGCTTGGGAAGAAGTTGATTGGTCTCGCTCAGGACCTATCGCCGCGAAGACCCCTGAGGACGTTAGCGCCGATCGGTCTTCTTTCGGTCGAGATGGAGGCACTCGAATTCGCTGGTAGGGACCTGACAAAGGGAATTCTGGGGTCTCCGCCAAACTATTGATGCGTTTTTAGGATAGACTAGATTCATATGAAACAGAGTCTGAAAGTTATTGTTTTCTGTGTATTCCTGGTATGGACCAAGATGTGGTTTGCGACCTCATTCATTGTTTACGACCGCGCACGGGGACTCTTGCGAAGTAACTGCCAGGTTGGCGACTTTTTGGGTCAATGCGTATGTAATCCCGTTGGACATGAGATGTTTGAGGTAAAGTCAACATGTTCAACAGTCACCCTCACGACGACATGTGGTGTTTCTCAAAGCAAGGATTCCCTCAAAGTGGCAGCTGTTATGTTAGTATGATTTTTCCTTTAAACGTCATCCCAAAAAGGGTCTACCATCCATTTTGACAAAGCCCCCATTGTGTCCTATTGCGATTTATTGGAGGGATTGGAATCAACAGTGGTAGGTATCACTGAAAGGAATTAGCTGAGCTCCGCCTCTGGATCCTTGGATGGTTTACAGGCAACCAGTCAGGTCAGCCAGCTCTTAGGCCCGCAGCGATGCTCGTTTCGTTTTTCGCCGTCCCGAAGGGACGGGCATTTCAGGCCCCCAGAAATGTCTCCTGGTCGTCCGGCGTCCTTTTGTTGAGACAAATCACCGGTAGTCAACGGACCTCCATGGATGGGCAAAATCCTTTCCAGGCACCAGTCGGGATGGATGAAACCCGATTTGAGTAGCATGCACTATCCACCTGGTGCAAAAAATGCAGTTTGTCCATGCACACGGCCCGCGCTTGGAGTTTTGAGCTGCACAATGCTGCACATGTGCAAACCCCCCAGAATCCTTGTTGGCCATAGTACGCGAGTGGTTCTACTACCTGGTAGCCATCAAAACTGTGTTAGTAGAACCAAAGTCATGGGTTTTAGGCCCAGCTCAAATCTGCTTACCTGTGCTCCGGTCGACTGCGCAGCGTTCTGGGTGCCTGACAAGTGAACACCAGGTCGGATCATCGTTTGAGCGCGGAAAAAGGACAGGTGGTCGGCGAAAGCAGACCAATTGCCAGCCGAACCGCCTCAGTGGTTGGTGGACCTAAATCCCTGCCTAAATGAGGTCAAACCAGAGGGTCTCCAAGAAATCATACCCCCCCCGCCACTTGCCAACTTGTCCCATGAAAGTCTCGAGTACCTCTGGAGATCGCCGGGGCTCACAGGAGGGTTTCAGTGGCACCCCGCACGAGTGGTGATCCGGCTTCCTGCGCGTGAAGCTGGGGGAAAACACCAGAAACCTTTGCAGATCAGACAGGTAAAGATGGCCGAAGGTCCTAAGGCCGGCAGACTCGTAAAAAAAAAAAAACTCGCCGCAGGTGCAGTCGTGTTTTGCGGGAATGAGGCAGAAGGAAGGGAAGCCTGGGTGAACTGGGACTGGAGGCCTTTGAAAGGGTTTTCCAAGGCAGCTTGCATTCATAAATGGGAGCTCAGGAGCACTCAAGCTGCTTGAGTTGGGTTTAGGCTTTATGGAGGGAATCCTTCATTCCCTTGTGGCGTCCCGCTGGCAATTGCGAGTTAGGATTAGGGATCCTCCCAAGGGTACCGGTTTTGGGGTGTTTTTTGTTGTTGTTCTTTTTCCCCTGTGCAACAAACCAATCAAACAACAAAGCAAATAGAGCGACAACATCGGATACAGGCCAGCCAAGTGGTGAGTTGTCATTACCGCAGGGACGCCACTTTCTTTCTTTTTTTGCGGGGGGTCCCTCAAAGAAGGCAGGCCCAATCCAAAATCTAAGGTTTGTTCCTCACATTCCCTGTGCAGGTAGACCCAACTCCAACTCTCCTTCCCCGGCGGGGGGCCTTGGAGTTACGAGTGGTTTGCGAAGATGTCCATTTTCTTTAAAAAAAAAAAAGAAAAACACAAAAAAAAAAAACACTCAAGCTACCCAGTGAAAAGGGGAATTCACCAACCATTTGTCTTTTTGCTAAAACCAATTTTTAAGTTGAGATTTTGAGGGTCCAGGGTGGCTGTTTTTTTTCCCAGACAAACACGTATGACTCCAAAAAAACTCAGCGACATATGGGGTCCCAGGTAGGTTTTATGCTCCCCGGTTCGGTTGGTGTGAAAGGGAAGCTATCAGCACTATAGTGCTGTTTTTGTTCAGGGGACTTAAACAAATGGAGGAAGAGGTGCCCAGGTCGAGTCGCGGAGCCGACCCAAAGGTTTCGGGACACCTCGAATATTTGGGAGTGTGCAAAAAATAGGGGATCCCCAAGATATGGCAGTTCCCTTAAAAACCGACTAAAAGGGTTCACCTGAAAAAAAAAAAACACCCATTTGCGGATCTGTTTGTCAACACAAAACCCCTTTCGTATAGGATACCAACGGACCCGTTTGGAGACCGTTTCCGATAACAGCTAAGCAACAACGAGTCGCGTTCGTTCCTCAAAAGGGGCTGAAAAGGGGAAGCCAGTTCTTATCATTTTCCCAAACGCTGGCATCAATTGGCTGATTTGTTGCAGGCTTGGCAGAGCAGGCACATCTTACAAGTCGTTGAGGCTTTGGTTGGTCGATCATGGCCAAAGCAACGGTTTGCTGATGACGCGCAACTGGGAATGACCAGGGGGCCTTGGCAACGTGTGGACTTGTCTCAAGATACCGGGCCCTGGTGAGGTGGACCTGCTTGACTCCTGAAACATAAGAGTCCTTGGCCTTGGGAGCACCCAGGAAACGGCCATGTTGGGTCTTCAAAACAAGGAAGTGGTGTCCACCCAACATGCCGTTTTTCTTTTTGAGGGAGCCTCTTCCCTTAGGGTGCTGACGAAGCGCAGCGAGGGATGGATCGTGACCACTGATCCAAACGGAGCAAGTTCTTCATTTCAGACAGGACCGGGTGCTGAGTCTTCATACTCTACGGCTGTGCTTTTTGCGCCCAGGGCAATGCCATCCATCCCGTGGCTTCAGTGTGACCGAAGCCAGCTGACTCAGCCCACAGAAGGGAGCAGGACCCAACAAAAATGGCGGTGTTCGCTGTTGTGTGGCATGAAATCAAGGTGAAAAGGGTACCCTGAACCAAGAGTCATGCTGGATTTACCATGGGTTCTTCTGGCACAACCTGCTGCCTATGCGGATGTGCCCTGTCCGAGTTGGTGCCCTTTGGGTTCTCAATGGAGCTTGGCGCCATTTTAAAGCGAAGTCGAAGAGAGATCGGAGTCGACTTTGAGAGGTTTCCAAGGTTGTTGAGGCCGAACCCATGTTTGGTGGTAACAAGCAGCTACGCTAAACTTAAGCAATGCATGTGAACATCCCTCAGCCGTCTTGATCGCGCTTCCTGGGTGGGAAGTGTTCCTGACCAAACTTTTTTGGTTTAGGCTCCCTATAGCTATGACAAACCCAGGTAGCCCCACAGGACCAGGAATCCATAGAAAAAATATGGTTTGGTTGGCTTTAACGGGAACTAAAAGGAAACCATCCGTTTTGGGGTCCGTTTTGGGCTCTTTTAACCCCAGGAGCCGGACCCCCGCAGAACCCGTCCGAAGCCTCACCGAGAGATCGAAAGCCATGGCCAGTAGGGCCGTCCGAAGCCTCAGGCGCGGCGAGGACCCAGTGGATCCATTTGGGCATTTCGTTTTTTAGGGGAACCCCAAGCAGAAAATGGTGGTTGTCTTTTCGGTTTCCCTTTGAAATAATTCAAAAAGGGGAAACCCCAGCACAAGACCCTAAATGTGAGGGCCTTTCACTCCCAAAGACCTTACAGTATGAGGTCTGGGTCCCTAGGGCAAAGGCTTGCCACCCTTTAAACAGCTGAAAGGAAAATGGATCGAAGGGGTACATATTATAAGGGCGAAGCGCCTGGGATCGACTGGGTGAGTTTCTGGACTGTTTACCTTTTTCGGTCTGGACCACTTTGGTGGCAAATCACCCGTTTGGACTTTTCCCTTACCAATCCACGCGAAGTCAGTGGAAGCTGCTGGACTAATCTGGAAGCTGATCTTGAACCCGGATCCAACTTGTTTCAGCCAATTTCAATTATGCCAACCCAATGGCCCTGTTTCAGCGACCAATTTCCCAAGTCAGAGCATGTGAAAGGATTTCCTCTAAAACGGGACATCGGACACGCTTTATGAATCAAGTCCCAGCTGGGTCGCGGGGCAGTCCTTGCCCCTCGTTTTCTTAGACATGAAGAGAATGCGTTTGCTGGAAGAAGCAGAGTTCCGGGTCAAAAAAAGAAACAGACCCAGGGGTGGAAAACACATGGCGCCCTTGGTTTCTGAAACTTGCCCCAAGTGGCAAACGGACCACCATGAAAACCACAGGCTCGGATGTTGAACCTTTCAAGGTGCTATGACCATGAGTCGGCCATCGCTTGCAAAAACCTTGCACGGTCTTAACACCCTCCCAAGGCATCTTGTTGCCCACAGAAATAGGTTGAACACCCAAGCTTCTCCCCTATCTACATAGGTTCGCCTTTCAAAAGCAAAACCATCCCCCCCAATAAAAAAAGGAGTCCAGACAAGCCATTATTGGTTTGGTAACCAGGGGAAACCCTCATCTAACACCTAGGATCTCTGGCGACCTCGTGGCGAACCGCGTTCGCCAGGCTGAGAACCGGATCCGCGAAGGTCCAGGCGCTGCTTCCGGGAGTCGGGAGTAACGGGTGGAATGGGCCGAAAAGTGCAGGAATCCGACGGCCGGTTTGCTCCTAAAATGTTATTACCCTCTCCCCAAACATGGCATCTGACAAGAGGTCCCTTGAGGAAACTTCCAGGTGCCCTCCCATGGGAGCTGTGGGAGGAAGGGCAACCATCAAATGCCATAGATGGTTGGAGATGCTGCAAAAGTGAGCTCGGATTGGCAGAGGTCATGATTTTTCACGTGCTTGTTTGGGGGGGATCGGGTGTTTCCCTTTTTACCCACCACTGAATGGGCTGACTTTGGTCAAACGAGGCCAGTCCGGGAGTCCGGGAGTCCGGTAAAATCGGCCAACGAAACAACTTGCAACTGCTTCTCTCCTTTGCAACCAAGCCGTGGTTTGGGACTTGGGGGCTGAAAGCCGGGATCCCTAAAGTCTACTTGAGGCACTTGTCTGGGGCTGAAGGTCAGACACTGGCAAACGTGTTTGCCTCTGAAGGGATATTGGACAGAATCCATCTTGTACCAGTTGGCACGGACGACACCCGATGAATGCTGTACCTATAGACGACTGGCGCGAAATGGACTTTGTCCATCCGTACTGAGCACCCTGGACCCCTTGAAGGAATCCTCATGATCATGCTCACCAGTTTTTGGAATGAACTGAGCCTTCTTGATCAGGGCCAGGCGCTGGCAAGACGCTGAATTGTGAGATCTCTACGCTTTGTCCCGAACACGTCACTCGGCTTTGCCCTGAAACATGATTTGCGGTTTTCTTTGGGCCAGCTGTTTGAAGGAAGCTAGGTTTTGCCAACTTTTTTGGGGGAGGGTTCCCCTACTAAAATATAAATAGACTACAAAAAAGGGTACCCTTATTCTGACCTCTCTACTGGAGGACCCAGTCATAGACTCGAAAGGTCGCCCTCATTTGCTCCATTTCGGCCAGAGTTCTTAGGCGTTGAGAAGTTCCAGGGCCCAGGAGGACGGGGGGAACCACACCACATGGCAACCACCATTTTCCTGCCGGTTTCCCTGAAGAAAACCTACCCCATGGTCTCCACGCAAAAACTCATCCCTTCCCTTCCCTTCCATGAAAGTAGGATAAGGACGCTCCCTCAAAAGGGTCCCCCCGCTTAGTCATGAATAATTTGAAAACAGTTTCTGGTCACTGACTCACAGAAACCAGATCCAGATGACAACCAGGTAGCCCAACCCACGCATGCTGGGCTTCAGATAGCTTCCTGCCGGGGAGTATCTTAGCCGCAATCAAAACCCTGCTAGATGGAGGGTAGCGGACAGTTCAGCCATAGCTGCGGCCTTCTGTTCCTTTGGTTTTGTACCGGTGAATCCCTTCCATACTTCGTTTTTCAGGTAACCCTTAGGTGGTGTGGATGGGTGGGAACTTGCGAACTCCTGGTTGTTGTGGAGAGTTAAGGGGAACCCCACCGAATCTGCTCCAGAGGGAAGCTGAAGTCAGGGGTATCTGAGGTAGCTGGCCCTTACTTGCCCTCCCCCCTCCCCAACCCACCCACCCACCCACCCCACCCCACCCACCCGCCCGCCCGCCCACCCACCCACCCACCCACCCACCCAATCAGAGGGCGAATTTTGATTCTGACTCTTGGCATTCGGCGGACTTTCGCAGGTGCGCAGCTTCACCAGCTGGTGGCACAGGCCGATTGTTTCGGGGGGGGAGGAGCAGCTGGTTACAAGGTGGTCCTTTCTGGGGATCTCTGTTGGTAGCGTTTGGTTTTCCTATTATGTTAAGGGTCACAAAACATGGCCCGAAGTCTAAGAGTATGTGATTATGTGTATTGAGAGGGGGGGACCCATTCAGCCACGCAGAGCACCTCGACTGACTCACATGACCAATGGGGAAAAGTATCCACCTGCAAAGTGAACCCATGCTGACCCCGTCTCACGCTTGGTTTGCCTGTGGGGGAACTTGGGGGACTCTTTTGAGAAGGAAACAAACCCAACTGGGATCTCTTTCAGAATGGATTCACATGTTGAGAATTAGAATGGCAAACAACAAAGCATACATTTTATTTCAATCATGGCCTCTTATCGTTCTGTTTCTTCAGCTTGCGTCAAGGTTCCGAAAGGTTGAGCCAAGTATCACTTGCTTGCGCGAGCCCCTGGCCTTTCCGGCTTACGCTTGAAAATGGTTGCTTTGCCGGGGCCTAAAAGTGGCTCCTCAGAACATATGTTCAGGTTATGCTTAGCTTGGAGCCCGGCGGCCATTTGGATTTGAACAACAGCCCTGGGCTCCAAACCGAGCTCCACCGATCGGAGGAGCTGATATGTTACATAAGGTACCGACCAGTTCGGAACATCAAATGGGTGTTTCTTCAGCTCCTCCAGGCTAGTTTGCTTTTTTTTTGCCCTCTAAATGCCAAAGGGAGGTTTTTGCCATTTGGTGAAAGCCCCCCAATATTAAACTGCCTTTGGCCCCTAGGCCGAATGGCTCCCCTTGCTGCCCCACTTTGGTACGGCGACGAAGCCGTATCATGGAACGGCCTGTTTGCCGCAGCCTTGTTTTTACAAGGTCCAAATGCGGCTTGGACAGATGTTTTTGTTAAGACAACACCAGAAAACGAGATCAAGCGCCCCCACCAGGGAGGTGTCTCTTCTTGCCCGTGTTTTGGTTTGCTTCGCGCAGGTGGGTGGACGGCAAGAATCCCGACAACCCGCAGGCTGCGGAGGTCTCTGATTGGTTGAGGGAGCAGAAGATCGACCCGTGCCCGACGGAGAGAGACCCACATGGACCCACGAGAAGGGGACGGACTGTTGGACCCGAAATTGAGACCCCAGAAGGAGCTCCCCCCGTTTTTTGTTTCTTCTTTTTGCTTTTTGGGGGTCCCCTTTGTTTTCCACGGGCCAGGCAAAAAAAGATGTTGTCTTTTTTTGCTGGGGGCCTAATGCCAGCCTGGAAAAGAGACCCCTCTCAAAGTGTGTTCGCGCGGAAAGTCCTTTTAAAAAAAATGTCCCTTTCTGAATTTCGATGTTGGCTTTTGAACATTTTTCAGCCTTCGCTCAATACTCACCCCAGGAAGGTGATGTTCTATGTGCTCTGTATTGAAGAGAATTGGTCGTGACTCACGTCGGTGGAACCTGTTCACTTCTTGGAAGCACGCTTTGCGTGTACCCAAACAAGCAACAAGTTGTCAATTTACGATGGGTCAATTCGATCATCCAGACACGGAGACGAGACAGAGGCTCGCGATCTCGGAAAGTCATATTGACATACAGTGGACTGGTAGGTGGTGTATCAACCGTTGTCTATCATCTATCCCAAGTGGTGCAAACAGGGACAGGGGGATGCAGGCTGAAGGAGGGATTTTCCGTTTTAGGCAAGGCTCAAGAGTCAGAGGCAAGCCCTGGCTCAAGCATGTTTCCAAAGAAACCCAAGTAAGTGAGCTCGAAGGATGTTGGAAGAAAAGCGATGCTCGCAACATTGGCCTGTCTCAAGCTTTGCACAGGCTTGTTGCCTAGTACGGTAGCTTCTCCAAAAACAGACTGATGAGCTGATGAAGCTATCTGGAAAACTGATTTCTAGTCCTTTTGTTTCCGCACCCGCCACTGTTCGTTGACTTTCCCAATCCCTTTGGGAACACCACGGTGCAACACACACATTGGCCAGCACGGGCAAGCCACTGCGTATCGTTGCCCAGGGCGCCATTTTGCCTTGGAAAGCCTCACCTTCTGGGGCCGCAATTTTTAGAGGAGGGATAGAATCTTTTGGGCGGGGAACTATACCCAGAGGGTCCCTTGGTACCCTTGAAGGAAATACTTCGACCCCTTTTGTGCCCCCCGACTAAAGCCATCCTCAGGAGGGACCTACTTGGACCCTTCGGGATGGGGATCGAAAGGGAGGCAAAGCAGAGGAAATCCTTGGCCGAAGATTCCCGCCAACCAATGTTGGATCCCTTTTTCATGTTGGACTTCAAAGGGAGGCCGGAGGGAAATCCTTGGCTCCAACCAATTTTCATGGGAAAGTTTGTGGGGGAACCCTGACAGGTACTTGATCCCTCGGGATGAGATAGAGGAGTGGGGTCAAAGCGCTCGATTTTCCGAATGCCTTGCCGGCGAATCGGAATGCAATGTTGTTTTATTGCTTATTGATTGACTCATTTTCGGGGAACGGGAGGGGTGGATAGAACTCCAAATAGTTTCCAGAGGGTCCAAGTAGCTACACCATGTATTTATGGTTTTGGGTTTGGTTCTTCGAATACAGATTCCTGGGATCCGCCTATTTGGAGGTACTTGGACCCTTCGGGGTTGAGCTTGCGACGGTCTTTGAATTGAGTCATTTTTTGTTTTATTATTATTATTCTCAATTGATTCAGAATATGACAAAGGATTTTCATCCATTAGAGTTGTTCTATAGCTTTTCTATTAAGTAAACATAGATTAAATATTCTGTACCCAATCATCGTTTTCAGTACATTTTGCATTTTTGTTCTTGATTCGACCGCACCCATGATGAAGCATCTTCTTTCAGGTTGGTAGTTATGAAGTAGGTCCTGCACGGCCTCAGTTTCCGGAGGCAGAACGACTTTGTCTTGGAAAGAAGCATTAGAGGTAAAAAGGTTTGGGCATCGACCCGACCCGCTCATCTGGATGCATTGCCCTTCCTCATCCTTCCTCCCACTAACATGGCGCCTGTGGGAGGGTACCTGGAAGATCAGTTTCCTCTTGGAGGGACCCCCTGTCAGGTGCCATGCTAGTGGGAGACAAGGTAGAGGTAAGCAAACGTTTGGGCTTCCACCCAATCTCAACCTTCTGAGCGTTTGTCTTGCAAACGCGGAGTGGGTCGAAGGGGGGCGATGGGACGGGCACAGGACTGGCGGAGGCAGTACCTCATGCGAAAGCACTACCCCGAGTATGACGCGTCAGCCTGAGCAATGTCGCCTGTGCTTCCTGAGTTGGACTTGGTCTAGGTCCCCCAGCTAGGTGCTCTTCCTCACCCCTTTTTTTTGGTTGGGAAATTCCCCTACTAAAATAGACCACAGAAAAAGGGTACCCTTATTCTAACCTTCTGTACTGGAGCACCTAGTTGTCCTCTTGGGACAGCCATTTTGGTGGCGAACAACTGTGTGGATTGAGGTGATTGGCCTCTAGCGTCTCGTCCGACAAATCGCCTAATGGCCCCATGTAGCTGGAGTTGAAAGGGAGACCGATAAGGAAACCATCCATCTGGCCCCCTATTCTAAGAAACACCCAGAGGCAAATATGGCTCCCTGCTCGGCTTTGAACCATGCGGTTCAACCTTGGGGATCCCAAGGATTCCCACAACCCCTGGTGTTTCCCTTGGTGAACGCATGGGATGGATTTGCCTTTTTTGTCTTTGCGGCTTGCCAAGTGCACCGAGGGCGCGGCGCTTTGAGGGGGTGAGGAGGGGGGTGAAAAAAAAAGCAAGTCCAAAATGGGAATGCATCAAAAATGGGAAGGCCAGCAAAGGGAACCAGGTTGATCAACGAGCATGAGTCGCGCAGCGTGCCGGTCTTTTTGACAACTCCGGGGCCGAGACAAACATATTCTGGGTATGTGCCAAACATAGGGGTGTTGAACCCCCAAAAGTTTGTTGGTTCTGCTTTTAGGGTTACCCTCAAAAATCAAACACGACACCCAAAGCTTCACGGTTCCAATTTTTGGGCTACCCTCAACAAGACTGCGCCACCCACACAACAAACGTCACCCGAACAAAAACAACGGCCTCGCAGCCCCGGAGTTTCCCCAACGAATGGCGGCTGCCCGATTTTCAGGGCCCTGAAAAAACGGGCAAGACACGCTACTTTTCAGGGCTGCCCTCCAATTTCGAGCTGCATCCTGGATCGCCAGTTGCTGCTTATTTTTTCCATCCACTTTTCCATCCCCAAAACCAGCAGTTGAGTGGCTGAAAAATGCGATCGCACCTTGACTATCTAGGGGGGTCCCTTGACCCGGAGTCTCCCTTTTCACCCCCAGGTCACCATGTTCACCTTGGCTTAAAGGGGATTCAAAGAGAAAACCACTTCGGCCTGTTTTTTTGTTGGGGGGGGTGCACATGATTATGACACGCACCTGGAGTCTCTTGCTGAAACCCTTTAAAAATGGGTAGACCCTATTTAACGTGGTCCCCATTTTTTGAGACTCCAGGTACGTTGCCAGACGGAATCGCTCACCTGCACGCAGTGATATCACTTTTCGGAGGGGGTTGGATCTGTTTGGCCCACTTTACAGCCCCAAAAAGAGTAGCCTCCACAAGCCGACAGTGGAGTGTTAGCGGGTATCCTTTGAGGTCCTTCTGCCAAAATGGGCATATCCCAAACAGCGATGACGCATGCGTTATACAGGGGCACTAGGGCGGTTCCGGTTGAAGAAGCTCCCAAATTGGGCAGTCCAAAGGGCTCTTGTGCACCAAGCCAGGGTGGCGAGTATGTCTTGTCTCTCGGCAAAACCGGCGAGACAACTCTTGGTGACAAAAAGTTGAGCCACTTGGCTACTTGAAAATTTGGATGTGTCAACCCTGTGCAACCCCGACCCCTAAACCCTGGCTATCTAGGAGGTCGTGCACCGCTTCAGGTGGACAAGACCAAGCCGGAGGCGGAGCAGCAGGCTGAGGCGGAGGACCCCTGGGGCCGGCTCTGCAAGCGCAAAGGCGCGACTGCGATGGCCGGGATGGGAGTGGACCCAGACGTCCCCACTGGAAGCAGAAACCAGTGCAAAATGCCTTGGTACCTTTTTTCCAAAAAGTGGGGGGGGGGGGCCTGTGCCCTTTCCTCAGTTGTTCAGTGGCACCAAGTCTTTTTCCAACTTTCTTTTTGGTGGCTGCCCCACTAAAAATGGTCTTCCCCAAAAAGGGTCCTTTTTCACAGCACGTCCCCACTTGGGTGTGGGTCAAAATTAAAGTACCAGGGGACCGCAGGTGTTGGTCCATGTTGCCACTTGCCAGGGCAACCCATTTTGGGTACCTATTTTTGACCCACAGCCACTTGATGCCGAAACCAAGTACAAACTCCCCCTGCCTTTTTTTTCAAAAAGTGGGGAGGGGGAGGGGGTGCTGCTGGTTTTCCGTTTGTTTTGTTGAAGAGTTCCTTTTGTTTTCGGTGGTGCCCTTTGTCTAGGTGTTTGGCTTCCTTCAAAATCACCCCCGCAAAAAAGAGTGCCAACTTGTTGTTGTTATCCCATGGAAACCCTTCCGTCTGGGACCACAAGCCAAGGCCCACTTTTCCGATTCCCATAAAAAGGCAACAAACACCAGCGACAAGTTTGAGTTCTGGAAGCCGGACATCTGACTGCCACGGGAGCCACTTCCTTTTTGGTATCCGTAGGGGATTTGTGCAAGACGAGTGGTGGTGGTGGTGGTGGTGGTGGTGGCGGCGGTGGTGGTGGTGGTGGTGGTGGGGGCGGTGGCGGTGTTCTTGTTTTATTTTATTTTTATTTTTTTTTAGATTTTGTGAGGGGGTGGGTGGGGTGTCTTTTGGTGGAGGCCTTTCAGCAACTGCAAGCCTTTTGGGTTTCCAAACGGTTTGGTCCGTGGACGCCAAAGGGTGACTCATTTCCACGGATTGGGTTTGGAGGTACGGAGGTTATAAATCATGCACTTATACAAGAGGTTTACACTGCGTTACAAGCTTATATGGCAATGGGTCAAAATCCCGTACCCCCAGTGAACATCCCAATCCCCACTAAAATAGCCTAAAATGGGTGGTGCACCTACCCCAAGGGTACCATGGGTTTTGACATGTTTTGACCCACAGCCATATTGGTGGCATATAAGCATACCTCCAAAACCCATCCCTGGACATGACCTTGAGATGATTTACCTCATGAAAGGGCACAAGCGGACAAGCCAACATGTTTGAAGTCACGACCCCAAATTAGTTTTATGGTACCCCCAAGCCAACCCTCGTCCTAGCTAGCGCGACTAAACCCTGAAAAAAAGCTGTTTTCAATTTAAACCCCGGTTTTTTGGCACACCCTGCCTTTTTCAGCGTTTGGATGCTCTAGGTAGCTATTTCGCCCCCCCCCCCCCAAAAAAAAACAAAAAACAAACCTGGAGATTCAACCGTCAAGGAATTCCTAGTCATTCTCGGCATTGACCCTATTTTGGACGCAAACGCCCGCAAATTACCGCAAACGCCTAGAAACAGGAAACGCCCGCAAATTGCCGCAAAACGCCCGCAAAAGAGGGGCAAACGCCCGCAAAAAAACGCAAAAAAACGCAAAACGCCTAAAACGCATAAAACGCCTTGAGAACCAGAACGCCTAGGAATTCCTCGGCATTGGAATCTCCAGGAAGAAGACAGAAAGAAAACGACGCGTTTTTTTTTCTCTCCGAATTCGTGACACGTGTCCACTTCCGACTTCTGACTCGTGAGGTCATGTGGTGCAACGGTGGCAGCGCCCGGGGCTCCAAAAAAAAGCTCTCTCCGGTGGAACCGGGCTCAACGTGAAGTTTGAGGCCTCAAAGCCTTCTTTTAAGCCACTCAGATGTCACTTGGAGCCAGTTGGGGATCGATCAGTGAGATTTTTTCAACGTTGCTTGGGTATCAGAAGCCGAGTTTTCTTGGAAGGAGTGATGAGTGGTTGTTTCTTTCCCACAGCCATGGACAGGGTTCATTCGGTTCCATGCCATCACACTCCAAACGTTCAGCCTCACAAAGACGCGGCGCGCGAGCCCGATTTTTGTGTGGGGCCTGTTTGTGAAGACCCAGGGGGCTCCACAAGGCCTAACACACGGTCCATGATGGAACGAAACTTATTGGGGGTCAAGTTCTTCCAGCCAGAGTGTGGAATTACCCCTTCAGGAGGTCAGAAATGACATCCATACCTGTGTGGTTTCCTTTGGAACTCAAGATGCCAGTGGCCACCCTTAAGTGGACAGCATGCACCGGTAAGCTTGTGTCACTTGGCAGCCGAACGCGTTGCTGACAAGTGCAGCTATACGACTCCTAAAAATCTGGCGCGCTCTTCCCGAGCATTTGAAACAGGTTTCATGGAAAACCAGAGTTTTTTCTCCCAAATATATATATATATATATATATATCAAGGGCGACTTGATCACACCAAAGACCAGCCATGAACTGGGGGTTACTGGGTTTTCCACCCAATCCATAGCCAAACCTTGGGGCCTTCGAGCAACGCTCGCCGAGGAATGTACCCCTTGAGCGAGTGATCGAGCGATTGAGCGGCCGGCGCGGCAAGGAGCGCTTCCTTGAGTCTCAATGGCACGCTTCCAGAGGGTAATCCGTTTAAAACGACTTTATTGGACACATTTAATGGCTGTGGGTTAAAATTCAACCACCAGGGGACCGCAGATTTTAGTCCATGTTTCCTCTTACCACCCCATTTTGGGTAGCAATTTTTGACAACCGCAGCCATTTGGGTCTGTCTTGTTTTTGAGGGTACCCGTTTGGTGCTCATTTTAATTGGGAAATCACCATCTTGGAGGTCCCCTAGAGAAACACACCCATTTATAGACTGCCCACGAGTGGCCCGGTTTCCTTTTCGACCGTCCAGAGGGCCTCTGGTTTTGCTTTTCCACGTGCCAACCAATCGTGTAGCCGCTTGAATGAACAATCAACGACCTGAACACGCAGCGGACAGTTCCTGGACCTTCGACATTTCACGTAGTTTGAGGGTCCAGGCGCCTGCTCCGTCCATAGCCTCTGGTTGCTTCCGCAAAGCTGAGTGCAAAGCAGAGCTTCAACGCTCGAGTGGCGGGGAAAGTTGCGAAACGCTGCGAGGAAAACCTGTCTCAGGGAATTCCCGCGATCCAACAGCAAGTGGTCGAAGCACCTTTTTGCTTGGATTACTCAGGCCTCCAGTTTCATATCAGGTCAGACTACATATGACACACACACACACACTCAGAACATATTATTTTTGGGTACCCTTTTTTTGGGGGGCTTCACGGTAGGATGATCATGGACTCTAGGAACCTTTACGACAACCACAAGGGTTCCTTGTCCCATTACCCTGACACATGTGATTGGCTGGGCAAGTGGTGTCTTCACATAGGTCGGCCTCCATGGACCTGGTGTCCTTCCAATTTCCTTGCGGTTCACCTCGACTTCACCGGGATTTGTGCTGGTCCGTGACCGCACGGACGAAGGGTTCTTGTTATCATGAGGAGTTGTTGTGAAAAAAACATATTCTTGTCGGTGCTGTGTTTGTTTCGCTGGTTTTATAAGGGGTTGTTGTTCACCTATTTTGGTCGGTTCCGTTTTGTTTCGTTGGCTTAATATTTGAAGGACATGGTCACAAGTGTGTGATATTCATCGGCGCGCGCAATGGCAAGATGGAGGCAAAGAACTGGTGAGAGGTCTTTGGGGCACCTTGAGCAAATAGAAGTCCAGCAGCCATATTGCAACTCAGGCAACATCCACTTCGCATCTTCGCACCAGGGTGAAATACTCCCCAGGGTCTCATCCATCCCGGGTGCAAAATGGAGTGTGTCCATAGGGAGGCCTAAGAAATCTTAATATCATGAGGGAGGGGAGGTCGCTTTGGTGGATCCTCCCTCTCGAGGGAAAAAATCCGTTTGCTCCAAGGCTGCGCGGGGAATGCAGCTGGGGAAGCGTGGTCCGAGGCGCTGTGGCTCGCTTGTCGGCTTGGTGGTTCGGGGCTTGAACCCCCTTGTCTTGTGGCTAGCTGGAAAACCATCCCGCAAAGCACCAGCCCAACAACCAAGTACAGAGAAGCTGGTCGGCTACTTTTTTACTCCCCTGCAAAGCTCCCCCCAAAAGGAGGCGAATGATGATGAAATCTGCCCCTTCTCTTCATAAAACCACATAAAACGGCTCACTAAAAGAGTCACCCACGTTGAGCGGTCGATTTACTTGCGACATGCGGTCCATCCTCCGATAAGCCCGATGAACATGGTTGCTTGGGCATATATGCGCGAAACGGTTCAGTTCTTTAGCTCCTGTTTTTACCAGGACCTTGCAGGTGCAACGAGCTCACCACCCCGTATTTCAGCGACAGAAGATCTTGGAAATGATCCTGCACATTGCAGATGGTTTCGTCTTAGCCAGAGGGTCCCTTGGTACCTTCTAAGGAGAAGCTGAACGACCCCTTTTGACCCCCCAGAAGCCATCCTCAGGAGGTACCAAGGGACCCTTTGGGTTAGTCTTTGGGTCCAGTCACCTCAAGCAAGCCTCAACGTCCAGCACCATGGCTCATTGGGGATAGTTATCTCAGTTGTTCAGTGGCACCAATTCTTTTTTCCAACTTATTTTTGGCTGCCCCACTAAAACAGGTCTTCCCCAAAAAGGGGTCCTTTTTTCCAGGGTCACTGAACAATTGAGAGTTGTTTGGAGGCAATGCTCCGCAAAATAATAATAATAATAAATAACACAACTTGTTTGCAACAGGATTCTCAGAGTCCGTTTTTTGGGGCAGCCCGTGTTTTGCGGTTACGGTTTTGTGCTGGCATGCTCCATTCGGATGTCTCTTTCCAGGCATCCCCCAAACTGGTGTCTTTTTCTTTGGTAAATGACTTTGGTTTTCCTTCTGGTTTCCCTCTAATGGGATACCAACTCCAAAAAAGACGCCCGTTTTGGAGCTTTACACAACCCCAGAAGCAAGCTGCTTCGCGCATTGGAGCGCCAGGCGCGGGAAGGAGTGCCAACCGCAGGCGCGGGGCAGCTTTTGGGCGTTTGTAGTCCCTTTGGGAGCGCACAGATTGCAGGACTCGAGCGCACCTCCTATTTCGGATTCAAGGAATCTGTATTTGACGAATGCCCGAAAGAACCAAACCCAAAACCGTGAATATATGGTGTACCTGGAGTCTCCTTCTGACCCTTAGAAAATGGTTGGTCATTGCCCAACATAATGGGGTCATGCACCCATTTTGGAAGGGTCATGGAGACTCCAGGTAGACGTTTTGGAAAAATGGCTCTTCCATATCATAGCTTCCGCAAGTTGTTCAGCCCTTTGCTCACGCGGACTGCAGCAACCCAGCATGTGTGTGTGTGTGTTTCTTGAGGCTAGCCGTTTTGGGGTGCTCTGAAACGGGCAACTATTCGGACACCGCCTGCTTTCGGTCCACCTATATGGACCCATTCAGCTTTGCCATTTCAACGGGTTCACGGAGGGAATGAAGGCCATGAAGAGAACTTTCGAGCCCGATCTGGACAAGGGCAACTGCTCATTCTCTTGAACAAATGTGGCTTTCCTTTTGGTTTCCCTTCAACACATCACCAAACAAGGGGCACCCTCAAAACCAGACCGACCCATTTTGAGTCATGGCAACTGACATGTTAGAATCTTAACCTTCGTCCAGATCTTGTAGACAAGCGAGCAGCCTCTGAGCAGCGGCCAAGCATCCCATCGAGGTGAGGTCGTGGGTTCTACCAAGCAAAGCCTTGAACAACGCCTTGAACCAAAGCTCAACTTGAAGCCTTGAACCAAACACCTATTAGCCGTCCTTGTCTATTTGAAACAGGTACTGGGTCTGGTACGCTTGGCAAAAGGCTCCGGATTCTGAGATTATCTCAGCTGCCTGGCTGCCTGTTCTCCTGACCATCTGCAAAGGTTGGTACCAGAGGTTTATAAGAAGTAAGAGGTTTCATTCCAGGTGTTCAATCCAGGTGTTCAATCCAGGGATACACTAATACCCTACGATTCATTAGGCGATTGGTTCCAAATAGCTCGTGGGTGCAGCGCCCTGTGCATGGTTAGTTTTGTGCATGTTTCTTACAGCCCCCCCTTATGTTTGGGTTGTCCAAACAACACATTTCGACTTCAACATCTAACATTTATTTGCCAGTTGCCCTTCGTTTGTGAAGACTTTAGTATCCCGGAAGTTCCATCCCTCCAAGCACTACACCTCTTTCTTGCATGCCAGGACCCCATTCCAAGGAAATGCGGCGCGTGCCTCAATTCCAAGCGTCGCGTATGGCGATTGGTTCACACTCTTTTTTTCTTTGGGTGATGCTCATTTGCTTGTGCTGATTCGCCCTTTTCCGTGTTGGCTCAAGCGATTAGCACACATTGGTCTGCTAGTGGCCAGTAAATGACAGCTCATTTCGCCAGGAGTCCGGTCGTATGGTGTTTGACTGGGCTGGCTTGAAATCAGCGAGCAACAAATCAACAAAGGATGCCCTTCTGCCTATGGACACTGGGCAAGCGAGGCTTACAGAGAGAATCATTGGCTTTCACTGGGTATCAGCCTACCTCCCCAACGGGGTGCTCTTCAACTTTGGAAGAACCAGAGGCTCCCTTTCTTTCGAACACCTCTTGTGCGTCGGCACGCCCAGGTGTGCCGACGCACACCGGATGACCACTGCTTTGTCATTTACGCCAAAGTGGGCATCGAGGCAATATGAACATCAAACACTGCGCATCCTAGTTGTCCAGTGGTGCCCGTTGTTCCTTTTTTTTGGAAAGGGTTCCCATTGAAAGTCGACCAACCAAAACAGGATGCCCTTTTTTCCCATGGCCACTGGGCATCTGAGGCGTGGCTGGTACCAAACGAACATTTTCGGACATTTGTTCACGGGTCGCAGCTTTTCAGAAACCCGTACCGGCTCTGGCGAATTGAGCTCTTGAATTCACAGAAGTTAGAGACCTCGGACGGCAGGCCTCATCTTCGAGTACTGCCTGCCTCTCCAAGCTGTGGCAGCGGTTTGGTTTTGTACTTGTGCCGTTCAGCTCAAGCAAGCCCCTCTGTCTGAACCCTTGGATGCTTCATGCCCCTTGGCCAACCGGAGGTAGGGAAACCCTTTGGATTTCCAGGCCTTGTTGTTGAATGCCTTCTCGGGGATCGTTTCGAGGCCAAGCGGAAGCCACCCGACGCCTCACAACTTGCAGACCCCATAATTTTACGTCGCGCTTTTTTCTTCTCAGAGTTGGAGCCACTTCAAGAGTGGTTCGCATGAATCCCCAGAAGTGATGTTCACCAGAGAGTCCCTTTGGAAACTTCAAGCCCATTTTGCCCCAGGTGCCAGCCCTGGCTCCCCGCGCTGGACTGAGGACGCCGCGTTTTTTTGGGGGGGGGGCACTCGACACTTTCCGGCGAGCCCTCGACCGCTGCTCGACGTTGAGGGACGCCAAGGGCGCCTTGTTTTGTGTCGTTGCGCGTGGCTCATATTGCTGTTGAGTGTGATGTTGCTTCTTGGCGTTGTAGAGCTTTTTTGTTTTCCTCCAGTGGGCTTAGCGTGATTTTGTCGTATCCTCCGGCCGCCTTTTTTTTAATCACCGTGTGCGTATTGATCTTTGTCGAGCAAACGGCAGGGTCCACTGT